TTGGTAAAAGAATTCCATAAATGTAAGCCAAGAACCTGAACAACCAGAGCTGATATCTTGTGTGCTTTCCAACATTAGATAGCAATAGTTGAAATTTAGCAGTTTCTGCAATTCTGTCGCCATCAGCCATTTTATAGGAGTCCTCAATATCTCGTAACAGCAATGCACATTTCATAAACGAAGCTCTGTAAAGAGCAATATGATCTGGTGAATCAGCATTCTGTCTGTCAACTCCAAATGTCCACTCATGTTCTCTAATTAGATGTCGTTTCAAAAACCCAACTTTTTTGAATTTTTTGCTGCATTCTCTACACTGGTACCTCTGCTCCACAGCAACAAACAGTTCTTTTATAGCGTCATTTTGGGCATCCAGTTCTAAAGTTTGTGCCTTAACCATTTCCAGATCTACAATTAAAGAAAAAATGTAAAGCCAAAATGGATTAAAAAAACTTCTTGCTACCTTTAAAATCTAAGAATGTACAGTCAAAATGTTCTGACAGCTAAGTAGGGTAATGTTATAACATTCATTCTTTTTCAGATTTGACATTTATAATAAATATTAAAGGGGACATCACGGTGAAGTAACTATATTTTTTGTCTTTTTTTCAAATACTACATAAACATATCAAGTGAGACTCCTGATGGAAAATAACGATCGGATTTGGCTGAAATAGATTCATAACAAGAGGCCCAAGAGGGCCTGTATCGCTCACCTGAATATTTAAGCAGTCATAGCAAAATGTTTTCATTAAATATTATATTGCACTAAAAATACTTCCCCCGCAAACTTTGTTTGCTTCATCTGTTGAAACTACCAGCAAAATATTATTATAAGATTCTATGCTTTTTGATTTTTTTATCAGAAGTTGCTTGACATATTTTTCCCTGTGATCTTGTAAGTAGGTCAATGTCATTTTCCTTCTCAAATTGGTTAGCTCTATTCCAAAAAGCTACCAGCCAAATCTTATCAATCCATTCCTTTTAGTTCTCAAGAACAAATCCATTAAAATGTTGTTGACCTCTATGATCTCTAAAGTAGGTTGAGGTCATTTTCATTTGCAAACTTTGGTGAGCTCTATCCCAGGAAGTCACCAGCCAAATATTATAATTTTATGCCTTTTAATTCTTCAGAAGAAGCTGTTTGAACTGTTTGACATATTTGAACGCTTTGACCTTGAAAGTAGGTCAAGGTCATTTTCATTCGCAAACTTTGTTTGGCTCTGTCCCAGGAAGCCACCTGCCAAATATTAAGATTTTATAACTACCAGTTCTTCAGAAGAAGTCGTTTAAACTGTTTGATATATCTGCCTCATGTGACCTTAAAAAAAGGTCAAGGTCATTTTCATTCGCAAACTTTGTTTGGCTCTGTCCCAGGAAGCCACCTGCCAAATATTAAGATTTTATAACTACCAGTTCTTCAGAAGAAGTCGTTTGAAGTGTTTGACATATTTGACCCCTGTGACCTCGAAAACAGGTCAAGGTCATTTTGGTTCTCAAACTTTGTTGGGCTCCATCCAATGAACCTTTCAGCCAAATATCATGACTCTAGGCCTGTCCGTTCTGAAGAAGAAGTCGTTTGAAGTTTTTGACATATCTGACCCCCGTGACCTTGAAAACAGGTCAAGGTCATTTTCGTTCTCAAACTTTGTTGGGCTCCATCCAATGAACCTTTCAGCCAAATATCATGACTCTAGGCCTGTCCGTTCTTCAGAAGAAGTTGTTTAAAGGAAAAGTTGACGGACGAGGACGGACGGACGGACGACGGACGCCGCGCCACGGCATAAGCTCGCTTGGCACTTCGTGCCAGGTGAGCTAAAAATGATCGAGTTATGATTAATTTATTATTAAGGTCGGCGTCGTGGCATACGTGTGTGAATAGAACACTACAGATCGTAAAGGGACTGCAGACAATATCTCCAATATTAACCTATAATGTAAGCGACATCAGAAGATATGCTATTGATATAACTATGATACACCTTATGCCAAACTTCAGGTAGAAAATTTGAATAAATGACCGAGTAATGATGATTTTGATTATTACGATCGACGGCTTGGCACACGTGTATGAATAGAACTCGACAGATTGTGAAGCGTCTTCAGACAATATCTCTCAAATTAATCGATTAAGTAAGAGACATCGGAAGATATGTTATTCATATAACTATGATACACCTTTATACCAAACTTCAGGTAGATTTGTTAAAATTTAATTTTACGATTTAACGAAGCTATACGCCGTGTCACATATGTGTGCGTAGGGTAAGGCGTCGCATAGGTGAACACAGTTAAACCGAATTATATTGTAGAACTCTCAGCCACACTCTTGAAACGAGCATGTTACCAGACCCTACGGACGTGGACGTGGTTCTACTCAGGGTCCGTAATATGTTCGTGTAACTGATCGATTTAATGTTAGTGTTTAAAAAAAATCCCTAAGTACCTATAAGTTTAAATGAAGGCTACACTAAAATTTAATGGTAATTGTTGTAAAGGTACAGCTGAAAAATACAATCGTTTTAAACTTCTAATGAAATAACTGGCACACATGTGTAAATATCGGTATTTCATACAATCAAATACATTTTGTCTGTATACGTAAGAATAACTGTTTCTCTGTTCAAACTAAAAAAAAATCAAATGTAAATAATTTTCACATCTTGAATCCCGTCCTGTGGGCACACAAGTATTGTGAAAACGTTAAAAAAGTTCTTCATTTAGCATTATTGTCATCAGGTAACTAAGTTACAATTTAACAGGACCGTGCGTTTCGCATGCGATTCGCGCGAACACGTTTTCGCGTCCCTGTTTTTTTTGAGATTGCTGCGGTTTTAGTTATTGTTAACATACCATTCGTAGATGTTAAAAAGTCTGTTTTCTTCCACACATATTTTAGGAACTTGTCAACTCTTCGCGCTTTATCAATTCGCGCCACACAACTGTGCTCAACTTGAAATGCTGCGCGTGCGCGGCCAATTCATAGTCTTCAAGACCATGCAACGATCTTCGTACGTCAGAGTACTGCGATTGTTGAATGGTATCCAAACGCTGAATCAGCTCGGGGACCTTTGATATTTTCCAGTCCCCAAGAAGTTTGATGATGTGATTCATCGATTCGCAATTGTTGTTTTTCCAACCTTTTGGAATTGCAGCATTGCGCAATCTCGATTCAATCACCCTGCGCTTATTCGTTGGTAAAATCTTTACTGACCAATATCTTCCTAAACGTGTTCCATACGACTCGTCAATCGTTTGTCCAATGGTATTGAATTCTTTTATTGAATCACAATTCAATAAAACATCTTCACCAAAGATTGATGACATGATCGGGGCCTTGACTTTATCAGTCATGCCAATTTTAACTGACAAATGTCTCGAAACGTTTTCCTGTATGTGTCGTGTACAGAAAGTAAGCGTGGCATCGGGGAAGTTGGTTTCTATGGCCTTAACTAAAGCTTTCTCTTCGTCAGACCCTATAACGAGGTCACACAGGTCGAAGTCAAGATCTAGGACACTGGCAATATGCGTTAAAAACCGCGAGTACGTGAAAAAGCTGGCATCCCAATGTAAATAAACAGGACCAAGCATAATAGGAGAATTTTCCTTACATTTCCTAACCAAGTTGGGGTTATTAAAAACCAAGGCAGTAACGAAGCATGGTCCAAGTTTAAATGTCCTATCAATTCCTAAAATTGCGCCGTTATTGGTACAAGCGGTTTTCATATCCGTCAGCTGGTTGTCGGATAAAGGATAACTGAAGGGGGTTTCCCTTTTGTAACAATTACTTCTCGTATAAAATTGCTGTCATGGATTTCTTTGAGAACACTTAAACAGTCCGTCCGCCGTATTTTGACTATAACTGTTTGGTTGTTTGTCGTCACTTTTTTTCTGCAAAAGATACTTGGCATTGTGAATTTGCCTAAGGTCTCTGGGTTCATTCATAGAATTTTCCAATGATTTAATGTCGTCTAGAATGACTTCCGGAGCCTGTTTGTTAATTAATCTATCGAGTATCGCCTCCTTTGTAGCGAGGGTTGTGCGCTGAAACTCTTGTTTTGTACGTTTAGAACGGTAATTAAACACATTGTTAAATGTATTCGTAATCGGTTACAGTTAAAATCTAAATTGTTCAATAAATACAATAATGTTATTCTTGACACAGCTGATTAAAGGTGTATCAATATTTATATAGCAATATATTCTATATGTTCACCTGTGACAGAGACGTATAACACATACACTCTCTGCCTATGCGAAGCCCTACCCTACGTACGTACACATGTGGCATGGCGTATAGCTTAATATCTGTACATCGTAGAATTAAATTCACGATAACTCGATAATTTTTCAACAAATCAAATTAAAATTTGGTATATAGTTGTATCATAGTCATATGAATAACATATCTCATGATGTCGCTTACTTTATCATCAATTATTTTAAGAGGTAAATCCTGAAGACGCTTCTTGATCTGTACAGTTTTATTAACACACGTGTGCCAAGCCGACGATAGTAAAATAATAAATTCACGATAACTCAGTCATTTTTCATATATCTAAATGAAATTTGGTATAAAGGTGTATCATAGTTATAAGAATAACATATCTTCTGATGTCGCTTACTTAATCGATTAATTTTAGAGATATAGTTTGAAGACGCTTCTTCATATGTTGAGTTCTATTCACACACGTATGCCACGCCGCCGATCGTAATAATAAATTAATCATAACTCGATATTTTTTTCAAATATCGAGCTGAAATTCCAATACCTATATTTATAAGTTTGGTTAGTCACATGGTAACGGGGATCTTTCATATCGAGCCCCAAACATACTTTCGACATATGCACTCCGTCGCCGCATGGAAGTTTTGTCGGAATTTCTTTACCTATGGTTGTAATGGTCGAGGGTTTTTCCAGCGTCCTGTAATACCAAAGGTAGTACAAGATACTGGAGATGTGCGCACACATTCCCATCGTTCTCTCTCCAACTGGGCACTGGCAGCAGTAGTCCTTTATTGGGGCCTCAACATCGGGTGAAACGGTGAACCGTATCCAAACGTTATATTTCGTTTGGCATTTGTGTCGAGAATGTATTTGACATCGGAGAAGGTCTGGGGAGTGCTGGTAAAGCCACACCTCATAGTCTCCGTCATCACTTAAATGTTCGGCGATGTAACCAGGAGCCAGAGATATCTGATACGTTCCACACGTAATGGTTCTCAAGTAATCAAGATCGAGACGGGGAAACAGTACGGAAGATGCATCCATCTTGACAAACTCGGACCTTGCCCGTCTAGATAGATCCGGATCTGTCTTGACTCTCTGAGCTAAACCATTCGGTGTTGTCAAACGGTCCTTCATACGTTCAGCCATTAGCCTATCTTTGGCATCTCTCT